GATCTTGGAGAACTGAGATACTTCTTAGGCATTGAAGTTGCAAGATCAAAACATGGAATTTTTATTTCTCAAAGGAAGTATGTCTTGGATATTCTTCAAGAGACAGAGAAGCTTGGAACGAAGGCAATCAATACCCCTATTGATCAAAACCATAGAATCAATGCATTAGAAGGTGAGCCAGTAAAGGACATTGGGAGATATCAGAGACGTGGGTCGGCTGCTATACTTGTGTATGACAAGACCAGACATTTCCTATGCAGTATGTGTGGTAAGTCAATACATGCATGCTCCATGAGTCCAGCATTGGGAGGCAGTTGACAGGATTCTTGCTTATCTGAAGGGACACCCGGGCAGAGGCATATTATTTACTGATCATGGACAATTGAAACTAGAGGCTTATATAGATGCAGATTGGGCAGGATGCCTTGATGACAGGAGATCAACTTCAGGAGTGTGCACCCTTGTTGTGGGTAACCTTGTCTCGTGGAAGAGTAAGAAACAAACAGTGGTGGCAAGATCAAGTGCTGAAGCTGAATACAGGGCCATGGCACATGGAGTTTCAGAACTTCTCTGGATCCGTTCCCTATTAGAAGAAATTGGTGGATAGGCGGAAGAACTTATGATGTTGTACTTTGATAAATAGGCAGCAATTAACATTGCCATAACCCAGTCCAGCATGACCGAACTAAGCACTTTGAAGTGGATAAACATTTTATAAGAGAAAGAGTGACTTCTGGAGAAGTTTGTCTTCCATACATTGCTTCTGATCTGCAGCTCGTTGATGTTCTCACAAAAGGTGTTGCAAAGAACAAGCTGGCGCATGATCTACGCAAGTTGGGAATGTGTGACATTTACTCCCAACTTGAGGGGGAGTGTTAAGTTGGGCCTAGTTGTGTTTATTCTTATTTTAAGTTATTTAGTTAGGAAGTTGTTGGGCTTTAGGCCCATTAGTTTATGTTTTTAAGTTGTGACTGTTCAACAACATTAGTAGCCGCCCTACTAAGGGCATCCTTGTAATATCTAATCCTTTAAGTTAAGTATAAATTATAATGAGGGGTTGGCGGATAGGGTTAATCTAAGAATCCTGGTTGACTTCTTACTCTTTTCTCTTCTTTTCTTTTCTACTGCTGAAATCTTCATCTTTCTCTTCTTTCCCTTCACAAGGAATTCAACTAAACCTGCAATCAGTGATTTCTACTCATCCCATCCATTTTGCTCCACCATTAATAGATTCTTAGGTGGAAAACCAGTCCCTATTGGGACACATATGGTAGGAACAACCTGAATCCAGAATCCATTCATTCTTAGATCTGGTTCTATCATCTGCCACTAAGAGAACATCCACATTCTCATCCTCAGCCATATTAGCCTTTGCAAAGTTATTCTTTTTCATTTCTTCATTCTGGTTTTTGTTTTTCAACTTATAACATTTTGACTTAATGTGCCATTTCTTGTGACAATAGTTATAGGTCAAGTTCTTATGTCTAGATTTTGATCTAGACTTCGGTTTACTATTTGAGCCCTTATCCTTAGACTTCCCTCTTGCACACAATCCAGAGTCTTGACTATCACCCCTATTTATAGTCAAGTCTTTATCAATCACCTCTTTAGAGAGTAATGCCTTTTTAACATCCTCTATACTAATGGTATCTCTTCCATAGATGAGGGACTCTGTAAAAGACTTATATGAGGGTGGTAAGGAACAAAGTAACAAAAGGGCTTTGTCTTCATCTTCAACCTTAACATCAATATTTTGCAAATCCATAATAATAGATTTAAATTCATCAATATGAGATTTTATGGGTGTATCTTCAGCCATCCGAAACAGGAATAGTTGTTGCTTTAAGTAGAGCTTACTAGCAAGAGATTTTGACAAGTATAGAGACTCCAGCTGTCGCCACAAACCCTCAGCGGTCTTCTCATGAACGACTTCCCGCAAAACTTCATTTGATAGCAGCAATTGAATCGTGATTAGGGCTTTAAAATCTAACTCCTCCCATTCTTCATCACTCATAGTTGCAGGTTTCTTCTCCTTCCCGTACGAAGCTTTGTGCAGTTTGTCTTGTCTCAAGATGGCACACATCTTGACTTGCCAAATATTGAAACTGATGCTACTATCGAACTTTTCAATATTAAACTTCATTGATGACATTATAAGTGCCAAATGAAAAATAGGGCTCTGATACCAGTTTGTTACGGAAAAACCCAAGAAAACAAATTCGAATGGCACCCAAATTGAAAGTAAAAGTAGAGATAAAGAGAAACAAGCGCAGAGAACACACACAGATTTACGTGGTTCGACTTATAGCCTACGTCCACGGGCGAAGGAGGAATAGAAATCCACTATGAAGATGGAAATGGAGAAGAAGTACAAAGTTGTGCCCTCACAGAGAAAACCCTAAGCCCCAAAGTACTCCTAAAGCCTCACTCATCTCTCACAAGACTTAGGCTCTGTATACAAGAGAGAAAACCCTTGAAAAATACATAACTCTTCGTATTTGGTTCAGACCTATAAGATGAATATGGATTGGGTCCGCCCAAGCCCTATGCATCCACCACAAACCACTATGAAAATTTGCCTTTGGGTTTTTCTCAAATTAATTCGGAGAGGATTCATGAAGCGGGTCGCCACAAAGAATTCAAGGTACAAACATAACAGACAGATCTGTTGAGACATGGTCTCCTCCAATAGATGGCTGGAAGAAGCTGAACTTTGATGGGAGTTGTGTGGGTAATCCAGGCCCCTTTAGGCATAGGCGGGTGATTATAGATGAAGATGGGAACATCATTTTTCTATACTCTGGTCTTGTGGAACAGGGTGATGTGGCAAGGTCAGAGTTTCTGGCTGCAGTATATGGGGTTGAAAAGGCAAAAGGGCCGGGTATTAACAGACTGATCATTGAAGGAGACTTGAAAACTATTATAAAATGGTTGCAAAAGGGGGAGGGGGTGACATGATAGTTGAGAATTGAATTCAGGAGATTTAAATGGCTATCAAAGGACATGTCAATCCAAGTGGGATGGGTGAGGAGAACTGCCAACAGCTTGGCAGATAGCTTAGCTAAGCAAGGGGTACAAAGAATGCATCTGTTTTGGTCTCAATTGTAATTTTGGTTTGGGTCAGCTTTCTAAAGCTGGGTTTCTTTTACAACTTCTTGTTGTAAACTTGTTTTCTTCTAATCAATGAAATCTTTTCTGTGTTTCTGATAAAAAATTGCATTAGATGCTACAATAGTCATCTTTTCAGTGTTAGTTATGGAAACAATTAAGGCTCGTTTGAATGCACATGTGCATTGTTAACAAAAGATATATTTCAAATTTCAAAGAAAAAATGTATGAAGTTCATTTAACTGAAAATCTTTAAATACCTTTCTTTTAAACAAGTCTACTTCCATGACAGGATACCATGTTTTTCTACTATTAGTTTTGAACTCCCATTTGCAGGATATGCGATAAACTTGTTTCAAATGTCAATTGGAACACTAATTTGATGCTTTATGCTTTTGGAGGGAGTGATCTAAATATAGCCTACTCCACAACAAAGCTTAACAATGGTATTAGAGAACCATAAAGCTTGACTGCAAACAAACAATGGTATCAGACAATGATATTGATCCTAGGCAATGTCCATGTCATACTAAAATGGAATATGTTAAATGTATTTTCTTTGTTGTTGAGGAGATTATTTGGGGTCCAGATTCTGAGAACCAGGTTGAGAGTCATGGACATGGTGAGATTATTGTGTCCAAGAGAGCTTTTATGGTCTTCTCAACTGGTGTCTGGAATAGATAAAAGTAGGATTATTGTCCATGGTGGGTAAGACAAAAGAAAGATAAGTGCAGAAGAAGAAACAAGAGGGAGGAGAACTGCACCTTCAAATCCATTAGAGAGAAAAAGTAGAAGTTCAAGAAAGTTGAGAGGAAGAGATCGAATAATGAGTTAGGTCTCAGCCTAAAGCAAGCCAGTTCTGCATGTATTCGTAGAGCCTAGGTTACATGTGTTGGACCTTACTTAGTTGAAGAGAGGGAGGTTCATGTCATGACCCAATTAAGAGTTTGAGTTCATCCGTGCATGAATTGGGCTGAAATTTAGTTGTGGTTCAAGTCTAAAACTAACTTATATTTTAAGAATGTATAAATTTGTAGCTAAATGGGATGACCTAAACTCTCTTGCAATTGGATAAAGCTTAAGGAATGCACATTTGGATTTGTTGCCAACACTCAAAAGTCCTGTGAGGCAAAATAGTTATGCCTTGCTATGTCTTTGATCTTTGGAGGATCCAAATAAAAACACAAGGCTCCTGCTTCTCACATGTGAAGCATTTCGAAAACCAGAGTCAGCAAAGGAACTATTCATCATCAACGATTGGGCTGTTGGACCATATTCCTGAAACAGTATGAAGAACATAGAAGTGTGGATTTGCTGCACATGGGTGCCATACGCACAAGGGTGGGTATAGGATGGTATAAAATTGGGAGACATAGTGAAGAACAGCAGGTAGTTCCAATTTTAACTTGAAGTTGGGCAGTTACCTTATTTCGTCATGCTTCTTGTAAGGACTAGATTGACAGCGTTAGAGTAAGAACAGCTGGTGGGTCTCAGATTGACCATTGCAAGATGCTACTAAGGTTGCACATTCACACTTGATATAAATAGACTTTCTCTACAATCTTCCCTACAGGAATCAATCTCCTGCAAAGTTCCTTTGGCTGATACTTTTGATGCCTTAGATGTTCTCTAGGTGATAACTTACTGGGTTTGGATATACACTTCATGAAGGGATCCTTCATTTCCACTTTGCATCCTGGGTTGGCATCAGCTTGGTATTTCTATAATTGAGAGACATAGTGAAGATTGGCATTCACTATATCATATTTTAATTGGGTTTCTTTGAATTATTTAATATCTGGTGTACAAAAAGTTATGAACTCAAGTTGATCAATAAAAGCTATGAACTGGGATCCATATTTACTACTATCACTTTTAATTACTGTGTGCAGATTCTACAGTCCTTGCCTATGTTTTGTCTGAGTTGAACCGCCGGCACAAATATGGCCTGGACCTCTTCCTGTTGTCTGTTGATGAAGGGATTACAGGGTATAGGGATGACTCACTGGAAACTGTCAAAAGAAATGAAATTCAGGTAATCAGATGCACTATTATATGAAACACTTTTTTCTTATAGCTTCTACTTAGATTTCTTAAATTTTTTATTATTTTATTCATTGACATCAAGCGTGTCACACGGTATGAAGATTTGACAAGAATTTTACAGTTCTGCCAATTCAAACCATGCCTTCCAAGTCAAAAGATCATTGCTTGAATCAGATTTTCATAAATATTTTCCACCTTGCAGGTTTGCACTCAAGATCTGCAGGTTACCTGTGTGTGGGATTCATTGCTGGATCCCCCCAATAGGAACCCACCTACGAGTGTGTAAGTACATGAGATACATTCCTATTGGGTATCCAGCAATGGATCCTGTTAATAGGTAACCAGCAGATTTGTACGCTCCACCTTGTTTTTTCCCAGTTTCTCCATGAAACTGAACTTCTTTTGGTAAAGAAGATTCCCAAGACATCTATATAAGTTGTATAGACCATTTTCCCTGGAGTTGTTAGTATTCTTTCTATGGAATACTAAAATTGTAAATGATTATTGATTCTATTGCCACAGAAATGTTTTTACAGTTTTTGACTGTTGAGGCTTTTCATTTTTGTCTTTATTGGGTTTTTAGTTATTGATTTCTATTCTCACCATTGCTTTGAAAGACAATTCTTATTTGTTCACCATTTGTTTTCATTCTGTGCTACTTTTCTGATACTTATCTGTGCTATCCATTGTTTCAGTATGGCCTGCCCCTAAAAGTTGTCTCATACAAGGATCTATATGGGTGGACAATGGATGAAATAGTGAAGATGATAGGCTTGAAAAACAATTGCACTTTTTGTGGGGTTTTTCGTCGTCAGGTATTTGTAGATCTGTTCTTTGGGTGCACAAGCACATGCATCTTTTTTGGTGGAACTTTTGAGTTTTATGTTCCCCTTTGCCATATAGATCCTTTTCAATCATATATAGGAATTTGTAAAACAGAAAAATTGAAAAAAAAAATCGAAGATCTTCTATACCTTATGGCAAGCACAGGTTCATGGTGATTTGGAACATACCATTTTGAGTCTCACAACCCCTTGACCATGTTTTTCATAGGCTTCTTTGTATTATGACTGTAGTAGCTTCTATTTCAGTCACTGGAGGCTTCTTTAACCCAAGTGTCTTTATAGTTTCAACTTGTGAAGTTCCTCAATTAAATAATTTTTTTTTCTTTCGACTTTTGTCCTTATGTCAGGCCCTTGATCGAGGAGCTGCACTTCTGAAGGTAGACAAGCTTGTTACTGGGCATAATGCAGATGATATTGCTGAAACTGTTCTCTTAAACATATTGCGAGGTGACATTGCAAGGTAATGCATCATTCCGAAAATCTCTCTCTCTCTCTCTCCCTCAGCACAGAAAAAAAAATGAAAATGTGATTTTATACTTTCTGCTTTGTAGATTGAGTAGATGTACTTCTATAACGACTGGCGAAGATGGACCAATTCCAAGATGCAAGCCTTTCAAGTACACATATGAGAAGGAGATTGTTATATATCCTTATAGTTGAATTCCACATTTTCTATGAAGTTGTTTGCATGATTTCTGTCTCAATTTATTATTGTTTACTGCACACTGCAAAGCCTTGACCAGAAATTCACGTATGCATATTTTAAAAGGCTGGACTACTTCTCCACTGAATGTAATGGCTCTAATTCCTACTTTTAACTTTATCTTGTTCTTCATTTTTTTTTTTTAAAGTTTCTCTACATGGTTTTGTTTTGTCCTATGTTTTCACATCGTAAATCAAAGTACAGTTTGAAATGATAGTTCAAGGCACCTTCAAGCTAGAATTTTCTCAGAAAAAAGCTATTTTTTTATCAGCAATAAGGATTGATTCATTAATTAAAATATGTGGAGTTAAGTGCAGACTGATGACCCAAATGTCATCCCCAGAAAAAAAAAGCTATTTTGGATTTAAAAATATGACACTGTGAAGCTGTTTGGTCACCCACCCATTTTATAATGATTAGGTTTTATCTAAAAAGGTGTACCTAGAATTGCATGCAGAAATTTTTAAGGAACTAAAAGTTATTGTCTTAGCAATCTGTTCTTTCTTTTTTCCTCTACAGTCAAAACAATCTAAAAGAATATGGTATTTTTCAGATGAAAGGTTAAAATTGTCTATCAAATAGACCTAACTTGGCTTGTGGAAGGGAGACTGATGGTGGATGGGGTTCTGGTTGCAAATGAACTTTTAGACTCGAGGCTGAGAAATGGTAGGGCTGGCCTACTTTGCAAAGTGGACTTGGAAAAGGCGTTCGGTCTTGTGAACTGGAATTTTTTAGACTATATCCTTAGAATGAACTTTGGACCTAAATGGAGAAATTGGATGAAAGTTTGTGTTACCACACCCTCTTTCTTGATTTTGATAAATGGAACTTCTTGTGGGAAGTTTAAAAGTTCAGGAGGCGTAAGACAAGGGGACCCACTCTCCCCTTTCCTCTTCATATGTGTTATGGAAGCTCTCAGTAAATGGTGAAAAGGGCTGCTACAGGAGCTTTTATAGAAGGTTTTGAAGTGGGGAATGAGAGGGTGGAAGTAGCTCTTCTGCAGTATGCTGATGATTGCTATTTTGTGATGCATCCAAAGAACAACTACACCATGTAATGGATTTGCTGAGGTGGTTTGGAATTGCTTTACATCTGCAAGTAAATCTGCCTAAAAGTGAGTTGGTAGCTGGCGGGAGGTGCAGGAACTATCCTAATGGGCAGAAGAATGGGGATGTTAGGTGGGGAAGTTACCTCTAAAATACCTAGGAATGCCTTTGCGTGCATGGTGCAACTCTAAATCTATTTGGGAGTGAATTGTTGAAAGAGTTGAGAAAAAACTCACTTCCAGGAAATCAAAATACCTCTCCTATGGAGGCAAGATTACTTTGGTGAAAAGTGTGTTGTCCTCCCTCCCTTTGTATTTACTCTCAGTGTACCCAATACCAACAGGACTGGCCAATATCTTAGAAAAGAAAATGAAGGATTTCCTTTGGAGAGGTTGGAATGAAGAGAAGAAGTTTCATGTAGTTAATTGGAACAAAGTTTGTAGACCAAAAACCCCTTTTGGGGTGAGAAGAGTAAAAGATTTTAATACTGCCCTTTTAGAAAAATGGTTTTGGTTTTTTGGGGAAAATCAATGGGGTTTGTGGAGAAGAGTGATCCTTGCAAAATATGGCAACAGAAATCTAGTGTGGGACCCAGGAGCTGCTAGCCAGTCCTACGGATGCTCAGTCTGGAAGGGAACTGAAAAGGCTTATGGTGCTTTTGCAAAAGGGGTGAAATTCAAGATTGGGGATGGGTTGAGGGTGAAGTTTTGGAAGGATGTTTGGTGCAGAGAAAGGCCACTTGCAGATGCTTTTCCTGATCTCTTTGATGCCGCGGTAGATAAAGAGTCCAAAGTATCTGATTGTATGCAGCTGCAAGGTGGAAGCGGGGTGCGACTTCCTCAATTTAGAAGAAATTTAAATGCCTGAGAGGTGGATGCAATGATGGAAATGATGCATTTGCTATATAACACAAGTAAAAGTTGGGAGGGCTGACTGTACAGTTTGGCAATGGGACAAGGCAGGAAAGTTCACAGTCAAATCTTTTCACATTGCTTTAACCAATAGAGAAGAGCAGTTAGTTCCTGTCAACATCATTTGGTGCAAGAATGTTCCCTCAAAAATTGATTTTTTTTTTGTCTGGACGGCTTTGGCTTATTTAAACAAAATCCTAACCAGGGATAATCTCCTATGGAAGGGCATGCTTTTGGACTCAACAGATTGTGTTCTTTGTGAAGGCCACTCAGAATCTGTGGATCATCAGCTGTTACATCATCGTTTCTCTTTTGAGATATGGTCCAGAATAGCTCAACTTTTTGAGGTGCAAAGCTGTTGTCAAGGATCAACAGTGGAGTTTATAAAAGGTTGGAGGGTGGTAGGTCTGAGCAAAAGAGGAAAACTAATCTAGAACATAGTCCCAGCTGTGGTGTTTTGGTGCTTATGGCAGGAGAGAAACACAAGAATCTTCAAAAATGCATTCCTGCAGTGGTGCTTTGGGAAAAATGCATTCCTGCCTTGTGGGCCATTTGCACTTTAAGAATATAGGTTTCAGTTCACTTTTTTTTATATGAAAATCTTTTTGCAAAGCAGGGTGGGGGCATAGTGCTGCCAGGGCAGTTTTCTGATCAGTCCCTGTGTACATCATCTTGTTGTACATGTTTTGTTTTTCTTAATATATCCTTACTTTACCTTGTCTCAAAAAAAAAATAATAATAATAATAGTAAACTGTGCTTGAGATAATTTGAGTCAATTTCTCAAGACAACCTTGAATAACCCTGAATTTAGTTCCTTCAATTGGATGAGATTTTTCGGTCCTGATCCTTTGTAGAGGGGAAATGTGCCCAAATGCAAAGTTTATTTCTTTTAATTGGATTAGATTCTTCTATCCTGTTCATGCTATCAAGTCTTATCTTCCTGGTTTGCAACATTCCTCTGGCCTTGCTGTGAAATAATTTTTATCAATTCTTCAAAATATTAATATACGTATATAATATATTGTGATTCTACTTTCATAGGTTTTAACAATTTTCATTTTCTTAAATAAACACTTGTATTATAAAACTATTAGTATGGTTTACATAATTATCCCCTAGAAAGATGATTCTTGAATTTCCTAAGGATTTGGTTATTGGATGCAAAATTTATTTTGATATTGTGTTGTTTTTCTGATTGTCCATCGTATGAGATTTTCTGGCTCTTCATTTTAGATTGTACAAAGTCAGAAATGATATATCTAATGCCATGTGCTAACTTCTCTAGCCTATACTGATCCATGTTATGAAACTTATATCATTTGAATTACAGGTATTTATTCACCTAATGCATACCGTGGTTTTGCTCGTGAGTTTATTAAGGATTTGGAAAGAATCAGGTTATTCTTTAAAATCTTTGATAAACATATTTTATTAGCATCTCTGACATGGAATTGGTTCAATCTATAGAGTTCTATGTTTTGTTGACATAATTATGTTATGTGTTAACCTATTGTCATTTGTGTGTGTGTATGTTCTTCAGGCCTAGAGCCATACTTGACATCATCAAATCTGGCGAGGATTTCAGGATATCCACTTCTACGAAAATGCCAGAGCAAGGAACATGTGAACGATGTGGTTATATTTCTAGCCAGGTATACCTTGTTTCTAGTTTTTTTTTTTAATTATCTCCCTCACTTATCTTTTGATGTAAAGGCACAACACAATAAATTATCTACTGCAGATCTAACATTTCTACTGACATTGGAGCACTTAAAAAGACGCGTAAATTCTAGCAGACTTGGAATACCTTCTGAATACAGAAGGTACTGTCAGACTTGGAATACCTTCTGAATACAATACCTTACCATTTTCGTGGGGGAAAAAGCAGACTTGGAATTGCTTTGCTGAATAATAATTAACCAAGATGGCACGTTCATGAGAAATTTTGAATCCCTAATCTGTTGACTGTGCAAAGAACAATCAACTCCTATTTTTCCTCATAATTATGAAAATCTAGCATGGTCCCTGTTTATATCAAGTTCTCTACAATTATTTTCAGGGATGATTACTTAAGCCAGTGCTTGTGCTTTAAGAGATGTTTGCACCTCAAGTGTGCCTAGGCTCACAAGTGAGGCTTGCATTATGGGATGCACCTCACCTGAACCTAAGTCCGACTAACCTGATGTGTTGCTATTTTTTGGAAAAGTGACCTTGAGTTTGATGTCTAAATAAGTTAATTACTGTAATTTATCAGGAAGAAGTTAATTACTGTATTGTAGGTCATAACTATGATTTTGACTTTAAACAACCTTCAAGGCTACAATTTTAGTAATGCAACACTAATTAATTTAGATGATACGATTTTATTTCTTTCAAATTTTAGATTTGTATGTTTTATATATTAAGTTTTCCTTTTAATTATTTTTCACAAGTGGCTCCGAGCTTCGTTCAGGTTTGCATCTCACCTTGTTTCCCGTGCCTCCAGTTCTGCGAACCCTTGGCGTTTTAGTTACTCTTCTTGCTTTAATATCACTGACTTAAACATCCTTTGGGTTGTCTAACAAATATTAGACCTCCCTTACACCATAAAATATTAAATAATGTCTCCTATCAAACAATCCAGATGCTTGTTTTGACAGAATGTTGTGGAAACTCTAAAACACCCTTGTCGGATGTCAAATACCCCCTGATACACACTAGAGAAACATATTGCAGCTGGAGAAGAAGGTATAAACCAGTCCAACAAACCACTGTTTAATAGTCCAAAATTGCTAATTTTGTGCAACCTACCTCCAACACTCCCCTAGTTTCACCAAAGAAGATGAAAGCAAGTTGCCTAAATTATAAGTTGCTGAAGAATATAATTAATTGCAAGTTCAGACAAAGTTCCTTGCAACCACCAGAGAAGTCATGTCAGTCGAAACAGGATGTCAGAGTCATTTTAGAATTCCCCTGATGTTTGTCTTTGTTTGCAGACTTTTAAATCCAATGGACCATGTTCTAACCTCTCTCTTTGCACCTAATTATCTATATTGATTTTCTTCAAACCTATTACAGGCTTAAATCAATCATCATTTAAGGCTTGTTCCTACTATATGGGGTCGGATATATGAATCCTGTTGCTGTTCTGCACTTCTGCCATTCCATTCTATCCAGTGGCACAAAATGACAGTTCAGTCTCTTTTAATAAGAGTTTGGCAAAAGTATACAACCTTCCCCTATCTGATCTTGGGACCCACAGTTTAGTGGGAGCTAGAATAATTTTCTTACAGGCTAAAATAATTCTTTTTTCCACATTATTTTGATTCTGATAATTTCTTGGCAACTAAGTGGTTGCCTTGTTGAATAATACATATCTTCTCCAAAAGTTAATCAAACACTTGAATACCCTGATGTTTGTAGGCTTTTAAATCCAATAGACCATGACCTAACCACTATCTTTTCACATAATTATCTATATGGTTATCTTCAAACCTCTTTATTACAGGTTTGTGTAATTTTCCTTGTTTCCACATTATTTTGAATCTGTTCATGTCTTAGCAATCAAGGTGGTTACATCATGTTGAATAATAAGTATCTTCAAAAATTGTTTACATCCACAGAAACATAAGGACATGCTCTGCACTGCTGAAACCTCTTGCACATCATATTGGTCTGGAGTCATTTGATTCCTATTTTTTCCATCATTTTCCCCTAAGAATGGCATTAGATTGTCTTTATTGTTTCCTTTTTTGAAAAAAAACATTAACATTTCTTAAGAGAAATATTCCTTTTTTTTTTGGCTAAAAGACTTGTATATATACCCTGAGTTTGCATAAATTGACTTAAAAGTACCCTGTGTTTATCAAATAGACGTAAGTATACCTTGTGATTCTTCTACTCTTTAATTTCTTTCAAGTTTTTCAAAATATACCTTGATTTTTTCAAACTCATGTGGTGGTGGGCATATCTGGCTGTGCCCACCCCCTGTCTCCCCTCTTATGTGGGTGATGGTGGAGTTCACTGCAAGCTTGTAAACTCCACATCTCAATCCTACAATCCTACAAGCTTGTAACTCTTTAAAGCTTATTAAACTTATTTTTCAAGCCTACAAGCCCTTCACGTTTTAACTCTTGTGTGAATTAGCAAAACTCTGTTTTGCTAGTTTTGCCTTGCATTCTAAAACTATTTCTCAAATGGCATCTAGAACTTTAATACTCATTGCAAATACCAAAGAAAAATATGACGATTTTCCCACCGAGACACCCTACTATTTTAATGTGTTTAAATTAGTTTACTTCCAAGGAGATTTCATTGGTAAGGGAACTGGGCCTTGGATTTTAGTAAGGACAGGTGTAGGGGATCCCGTAGTCCTATTCCTCCCAATGGCTTGAGGTCTTATGGGAAACCACCTGAGTACCGACAAACCGTGCTTGTGGTACATATGTGATCTCAAATACTTGCCCACACCAGATATAAGGTTTGGGTTTCTTGAAACCCTGGGTTTTTCTCTCTTTTGGCGCCATTGATGAAGATGGGCCGACTCTCTGCTACTCTATTCTCTCTCTCATTGAACAAACCCTAAAGAGATTGCAATAGAGGCAGTAATGTAACTCTCTTCTCTGAAGGGAAATTGTAACGTCAAAGTGGGAAGATGCAGCAGTGATTTGAGACGGTATTGTTACTGTGAATGGCACCACTCTCTGGCCCAATATGAGGCATTGGCTGAGTGATTAGAGGTAGTATTGTTACTATGGTTGTAGCAGTGATTAGAGGCGGTATTCTTCTCTCCTCACGTTCTTCCTCTTCTTCCTTCTTGCCTAGTAGGGCAAGACAGGATTCTAAAAACTTTAAATGACCTCACATGTGATGTTTCATTGATGGAGTATTTAAGTCCAGTGGGGTCAACCCACAAGGTATATTTAAGTCTATTTAAAAACTGGTATCTTTTAGTCAATTTATGACAACTCAGGGCATGTGCATGTCTTTTACCCATTTTTTAGTAACCAGTTCTGAATTGTCACATGCCAAATTTTATTTTGCAGAAATGGTGTAAAGCATGTGTGTTGCTTGAGGGGCTGAACAGAGGATTGCCAAAGTTGGGCATAGGGCGAAGTCGAGGGCTTAATGGGCATAAGAAGGATATTGAACAAATAAATCAAATGAACAATATCCAGAGCAAACCGTGTGGAAGTTTAGACTTTTGATGGATATGCAAAACCTTAGGAGTCCATTGAGGAATGCTAATTACAACCATTTATTAATAATCTTTATCAAGAGAACTCTCTCTTTCTCTCTCTCATTCATTATGTTTTCGGCTGTTGTCAGTCTGGCGTATTAGTTTTCTTCGGTTCTTTGATTCTTAAAGCATATCTTTTTTTTGTTTTTTTGTTATTTTTTTCAGCCATTTCAACTTGCCTTGTTAATCTACTATTCGAGATGGCAATTAAATGCCTTAATTTTATCTATTCCTTGATCACGTAAATAACTGTGGAAAATAATGAACGTGTTGTGAAGCATTTGAACTTTTAGGGTACAAATCTTCTGTTTCATATGATAAAAATGAGGTTTAATCATATCTGTTTCATATGATTAATGCTCAGTAGTCTTTGTCCAATCTAAGAGAGATGACATATTTCTTGGGACCTCCCAATAGAACATGAAAACGCCAGCGATCAAGGATAAAAACAGATACTTACACTGATTTATATCCTAAATTTGGCTGCACACTGCAGGATCAGTGGAATTTTCCTCTCCTTCCAAACATCTTGTTATATGTTAGGAAATTGCAGTGAATTACAAGTTTACAACTAGCGAGAGAAGTAGAGAACCACTACAAATTGATAACAAAAATCCGGGGATGGGTTCTTTGTTTTTTTGGTAAAAATTCAGGGATGTAGGATCAATGTAAAAGAATGCTAAACTTGTGCTGTTTTCGAGTATGACTTCCACATTGTCCTACAAATTTCTAACATTATCCTGCATAGCACATAATAAAATTTGCATCTTATATCCAACCATTTACTGTTTTAATTTTATAACCAAATTCCAGTGCTTGTTTACGGGGCTTTTAACACAACAGCATGCATCTGGCTTTGTGATGTGGGCCCCACATGGATAGTCATTTTGGTCAACCGGCTGTGGAAGCCTTTACTCGAGGGGGTGCTCTCGGCCCAGTGAATATCGCTTATTCTGGTGTTTATCAGTGGTGGTATACAATTGGCTTACGCACTAATGAAGATCTTTATACTGGATCTCTTTTTCTATTATTTCTTTCTGCTTTATCCTTAATAGCGGGTTGGTTRCATCTACAACCGAAATGGAAACCAAGCGTTTCGTGGTTCAAAAATGCCGAATCTCGTCTCAATCATCATTATAAGCAATGTATGGTGAAAATCTGGAAATCCCGAACATGCTGTTGTTTAACAGCTGCATTTGGAAATGATGTAAATGGAATGCAAATCCGGGTTAGGGTAAATTTGCACTTTGGTTCAGTTTTGTCTATATGCATTAACAAATTACAGAAAACACATTTTTCAATGCATGTTTACATGGATAATGAAATGTAAAAGTACATCAAAAGAAGTAAATTTGCATTCAAGTGATCTTTTGATAAAAAAAGGATATATTTTATTGGAATTTGTATTTGTAGCTCAAGTCCACATGACCTACTTTTTGCATCGCTCGAAATGGCTCAAAGAACATGGTTAACAACTTCAATGGTTTATAGGCTACAACGCTGCTTTGTTTATACAGTTGTAAGCGGAGATACACCATATCACCAGTGTTAAATTCTTGTTCAATGTGGTGTTTGTCTATAAGCTTCTCATCTTGTTTTTGGCCATATTCGGATCATCCTTGAGTTTGTCTAGTATTTGATTGTTCTTTAGTTCCTCCTCAACTGACTGAACCTTCGTTGTTCTTGGAACATATGAGAGCAGGGTAGGTGGAGGATAACCATACACCAATTGGAAGGGAGTGGATTTAGTGACAGAATGGTATGTTGTATGTACCACCATTCAGTCAGGGGAAGCCATTTACATTAATCATTAGGCTAAAGTGGCGTTTGATTGTACTTGTCTGAATATGAAAACTTGCTTTTCAGACGCCACCAAGCGTTTGGTATACCCTCTTATTAGAGGTCTGAAATTGGATTTCAGATCTTAATTTCTAAAACATAGAGCTGTTGCTTAATGGATCAGACGTAATTCAAAGGTATTTAAAAGACAAATAATTTCAAATAAATTTTAATATTACATGTTTTTTTGTCCTTCGTGTACCTCGAATCGAACCTCGCGAGTCTACAACCTAAGGAAGCTTCATCGCCACCACCGTCGTTGCACCTCACTTCGAATTTGCAACCTAACTCGAATCGAACCTCATTGCGAATCTGCAACCTAATGAAGCTCCACCGCCTACCAACGCCGCTGCAACTTGCAGGGGCAATTCCTTCTCTCTCTCTCGTGCTCTTTCTCATGCTCTCTCTCTCCCCTGCCTTCCCGTCACTGTTGATGCAACAGCGGCGAAGGTTCCTTCTCTCTTGTTCTCTCTCTCCTGCCTTCCCGTCACCGCCGCTGCAAGTGCAGCGGCGGAGGTTCCTTCTCTCTCTCTCTCTCTCTCTCCCCTGCCTTTCCGTCGCTGCGGTTGCAAGCTATAGCGCGGCGGTTCCTTCTCTCTCGCTCTCTTTCTCTCCCCTTTGTTTTCCCGTCATCGCCACTGCAAACGGTTCCTTCTCTCTCTTTCCCCCCCTCTCTCTCTCTCTCTCTTTCTCTCTCTCTTTCTCTGTCTCCCCTCTCTTGTCATCACCGCTACTGCAAGTTGCATCAGTGGTGGTTCTGCGGTTCCTTGTTTCTCTCTTGCTCTTTCTCTTTCTCTTTCTCTCGCTCTCACTCTCTCTCTCTCTCTCACCTATCTCGCCACTACCACTGCCACTGCAACTTGCAGCGGCGGTTCGGTGAATAGTAATAATAATAATATTATTAATTATTAATTATTTTAATATTTTTTATTAAACACTACTAATTATTAATTATTTTTATTAACTAGTAATTTGTAATTATTTCATTAATTTTTAAAAATTATTTTAATTTTTATTTGTATAAATTATTAATTATTTTAATATTTTATAGTCATTAATTATTTTTTTAATTTTAATCGTTTCATTTAATGATTAGTAATTAGTAATTTTTAATTATTAATTTTTTATTTGTATTGTTACAATATTATTTTGAGGTTGAAAATTATTTTTATGAGATAATGCAAATTGAATTAAACATTTCCAAATAGTATATTTTAAGGGTAAAATAGTAAAATCAGTAAATTTCAGATGATAAAGGGTTGATTGAATACAAATGAACTTGTGGATTCAGAGTCTCTAAAAAGTAGAAAAGCATCCATGCCTCTTTTCAGATTTCAGACACTTAATATCTTTTTAACTTTTCAAACTTCGGATTTCAGATTTATCAAACACCACCTAAGTACTAGTGACACTGCATCATATCTAGGAAGGGGAAGTGGATAGAAATTGGCCTTGATGGTAAACCCTCGCACCTTGATGGGTACTTAAAAGCATTTGCCCGCTCCTTGAAGCTTCTCCCCATATGCCTTACCAACCATTTTTGGGTCCAAGAAATTGTAGATTGACTATCTACTAGTATTACCACGGGATGGGTCAAGATGTTACCAGACAGGTGCATAGCTTGAGAAGACTTGGCTCCCAAGAGGGCATGAAGAGAGATTTTAGACAGAACATCAATTTCTGTTGATAGCTTAGTCAGTGCGGTGTGGATCTCGACTTCCTTGTTTCATCCTCCGAGCCTATCACCCAAAAGAGTTTCTGCACTTTGCACTTGTTTTGGGGATGATAGACTTCATGGATTTTATAGAAGAGCCCTTGGCTTTGCGCTCCTAGGCTTTTGTAGGAGAAAGCTTCTTAACCTCTGGCACCCGAACTGATGTTTGGGTTGGTGGAGGTGGTTTCGACCTGGGAAAGTCTACTTTACTCATTCTATGCCGAGCACTCAATTCTTCCTCTTCTAATAACAAATCATCCACCCAAGTTTTCTTCAGTCCAACCCTTTACTCAACTAAACAACCTTTGAAAAGTTCTCCAAATAATCCTATACACTAGAGGTCTGCACCAACTTAGTCAACCGAACGATGTGGTTTCCTCCAAAGGGTCCATTGAATCCATTGTCAACAGCTACTATAAATTGCTCCCAAGTTGGTGTGGGTTGATGGTCTCAAATAGTCATGTGGGTTAGGCCTCAGCCCAGGGAGGTATCTATATCAAAGAAGCTCCTGGAAAACCAATTTTTTAATTGAACAACATATTTGGGATTTCCGGATTTTTTCACCAAACAAAGCTTATAGGCGGCTGTCCATGTGGAGCGCTGACCTTGCAAAGCCAGAAAGCCACTATGAAAGACCTCCCAAACACATTGAGGGTCTAATTAGGAGGTTTTTGGTTGATTAAGCAACTTCAAAGAAGCTATCTAAGATAGCCTAAGATAGCTTCATGGGAAAGTCAAATTTTGTCTCATTAAGAATATTTTCGGTTTGCCTATTTTTTCACTAAATATGGCTTAACAACTTTTTAGGTTTCTTAGCTCATGTAATGCTAGAAATTGTGTGAAAACCCTTCCAAACAGTCGCTTAGTAGCTTCTTTAGAGCAGCTCAATTAACTTACAAACGGGTCACAACCTTTACTGAAATGGAATGAAAGTTTTCTAAATTTGGCAATTCAAAAAAAAAAAAAAAAAACTCCAATGATCAAATACATTTTCTTAGTCCTTCAAACATTTCAATAATTTGTCAATTTCTCAAAGTGTAATGTTGCCATATCTATTGCGAAATAACAAGAACATAAAATATAAGTTTGTGATTATCTTTTTTTTTCCTTTTATCCTTTTATATTTTTTCTTTGGATAAATCATATACTACCACTAGGGGTGAGCATTCAGTTTATTCAGTTAAAAAACAAACCAGATAAACCAAAAATTTAAAAATCAAACTAAAAAATAAAAACCAAAACTGAATTATAGAAAAATCAAAATAACCGAAACCGAAATATTATATATTAACATATATATGTTAATATATATATATATATATATATATATATATATAATATTTTGAAATCAAATTTCATTTTATTATATATTAACATATAAATGTATAATATATTATATATTATATATAATAATAGAAATTTTGATTAATTCAGTTAACCAATTTTCTAATTCTAAAAACCGGAATTGAATTAAACAAACCGATTTAACCAAATTTTTTTTGTTTGGTTTTTTGGTTTTAACCGAATAGTGATCACCCCTAACTGCCACCCTGCCCTGCTTCATTAATAGGCTTGATGGTAATGACAAAATACTAAAATGCCCAAGCTTAATGGGTTGAGAGAAGAAAATATCAAAATAATGAAAATAGGCATGCAAAGCACACTCTCTTGTTTTTTAGTTTTTTTAGTAATTATCAGTGTATTTCTATATTTTCTTATTTTTTGTATTTCCTCTTTTTTCTCCAATTTTCATTATATTTCTTGTATTATCTACAATTTCCTATTTTTTCTTTATATTCTATCAATTTTTTGCAAAATGGTCTCATAAATGACGTAAGGGCAGTCTAGGGCTTTAGAAATGTTTAAACATACACATGACAATCACACAAGAATCTTTTCTAAACTAAACTGAGGAATACTAATGAATAACAGGTGAGTAAAGTGCTACTGTGCTAGAATCTGAAGGTCCATGAAGGATGCTAATGAATAACAGGTGGGTAAAGTGCTAAAATCTGAAGGTTCAGGTGGGCAAAGTGTCACTGGAGGGTGCAACTTGGACAGGCTTTGGTTGGGTTTTTGTCAAAATATGAATGGCCTTAGCCCAAAGTTCTGTAAAATGCTAATCTGGGCCAAAGTGTCACTGCCCACAAAGTATAGGATTGAGTTCTGTATTTTACCCTTTTGTTTCTATGCCTTCGAACTATATGGACAACTTTTGACCATTTGCTAGGCATAATTGTACTCTTAGTTACAAGATCAGAAATTCCATGATCATGGAATACAAAATTCAAAATTTTTTTGAACAATAGCAATTCTAGTATGGTCGTAGAAAAATGATAACAATTAACCCTACAAATTAGGGGCTGTCCTACGACAGGGATGTTTTTATTTTCATTTTTTATTTCAACTATATGAACCTCTTTAAAATAGAAATTCAAGCATATGTTTTTTATTTCAACTTTTAAAACAAAAACACACATAACTAGACATGTTTTCTGTGGTTTTCATGTTGAGAAAATAATTTATTTCTTTTTTAACCATAAACATTAAAAACCAATTCGTTTCCAAACCAAAAAACGGTACCATAGGTGTTTTTTTTTAACTGCAGAGAAGAAAAAGTGAAACAATTAATGTAGGAAAACACCCCTTAAACTGTGACGCTAGCACATTCAATTTCCCCTATCTTTAATACCCAAAAAGCAAAAGGATAAATTTCTTAAAACTTCCCTTAAGGTTTAAAAAATTGACTAACTATATCTCTAGTGTTTCAATATTGTCTTCAAGTATCTTTTGTTTTGGACAATTGACTAACTCTGCCTTTGTCATTATCATCCGTTATTATTCGGTCAAATTTCGTATATACGTGCCATCATGTGACATATAATTTTTTTAAATCCAATTTTACCCCTCATTCACTCACTCTCTCTCTCTCCCTCCCCTTCATTCTCTCTCCTGTTTCATCACTGCTGCATTACAGCAGCAGTGAACCCCTTCACCTCCGGCCTCTCTCTCTCCTTCTTCTTCCCCTTCTATAATTCGTCTCAGATTTGTTGAGTATCTCTTAGATCTGCAAGAAACCCGGATCTGAGACCTGAGAGATACTCGAATCCACTGTCGTTGGTCAGAGCAAGTGTTTGTAAACCCCTGTAGAGAGAAAGGGTTGGAGCAAGGGTGGATGCACTGGTCGTAGCAATGGTGGCCCCGGTTCCTCCTTTCTTGTTCTAGCAGCCGCCCTCTGTTATCAGACTCAAACCTTGCTCCCTCAATCAAGGAACAACTATTTTACCCCTGCTTCCATTGGCGCAATGGAAAAATGAAATGAAGAAAAAGAACTAAAAGACAGATAAGATCTCAATATCAAAACAATCGTTCATGGGGTGCTTTGTTCTATAACGTTTTCCTTATCAGATTTTAGTCTCGGCAGATAGTTGTTCGGGTTGTTGCCAACAGGGAAAAAACCCCTTACAAAGAACTTTTCCGGGAGTTTTACTGTCGTTGACGATGGGAATATTGTTACCCCATCATCGTCTCCGACTCCGACTCCGACTCCAACTCCAACTCGGACCCCATCTCCGTCTCATCACTGTCTCTGATTCCGCATCCGCCTTCGTCTCCGACTCTATCATTTGAAAGTTCCGAATGTGATTGCATTCCCGATCAATCTCAGATATTCCACTTTGGCTTCAATTTTGAACAAACAGTGTTCGCCGGTCTTTAGCGCCCCTTGTTTCGGTGCTTATTGGATTGATATTGACCACCATCGTCTATATGTTCTCCCCCATCAGTCCGGTAGTCGGATGACACCCATGGTCTCATAAATAAACTAGTAGCAACACTACTGCTCTCGAGTTTGAAAGCTTGAAGAAGTACGAGGGCTCGTCGTCCACCTGATGTATCACTTGGGCCCCGTCCTCACTGCTTCCTAGTCGGCTCCACCCTTCCCTATGCCATGGAGGAGCACACTCAGACTCCCATTTGGGAGGTAGTTGTAGAAGCAACAATTTGAAGAAGAGAAAGAAGTTGCATCTTTTGGACCGATTAAGAAAGTCTGGAATGCGAGACCATTTGAGGTAGTTGTTGCAGACATTGCAATTGCAAGGGCCAAGGGGGCCTAATGTTGTGTACGGCCAACGACCTCACTTTTATCATTTGAACCATCTCACATTTCAATGGAGCAGAGGAAAAGCTGAGCCGCGACAATAGGGGTGATATATGGGAGTTATTGGTGGGGGAGGAGCTGATGCCATGGGAGAAGACGCGGGAGAAAGGCACCCGGGAGGAGAAGATTTTTGTTTTTGTGAGGTTGAGGCCACTAAATGCAAAGGAGATTGCAAGACATTATGTGTTAGGTTGAGAATGCATTAACGATAACACTATTATTTGTAGGAATTGGTGAGGGGCGATTTGGCCCTACAGTGTGATATTAAGCCACCTGACGACCTTGAACCATTGCTTAACACCTCGGCACCATGTAGGCACTTTGGCTTAACACCTCTCTGCCGAATTGGTTAGAATGCTATTGGCAACCTATAAGACGTGGTGGCCGACTCGCATTACAAGTAAGTCATCGCCTCCGACTTCTCTGGAATCACGATGCTTGACTGTTAGATCCATCTTTTCGCATTATCCACATCGGAGTTGATCGAACAAACTTTATCTCTATGTGGATTTTATATCTGGCTGAGTGATCTACTCTGAACATGGCGGACACGGTTTCTCTGGAATCTCAAGCACGTTACAAGAAGCTCCTGGTTTCTTACGCCTATATATAGGCATCCCCTCCCTTAGAGAAGGTATGTGTGATTTAGCTCTCACAATACTCTAGCTCTCCAATATATTTCGTTGAGTTAAGCATTGGAGTGCTCGACCCAGGTAAAGCAATCCAAGTACTCTGATACTGTCTTTTTGTAGATCGACCCAACAAACTCGCCATCTCAGCATCTGAACTGCCTTAAAGCAAGGAACTGCCAGATCGTGCATCATCGAGAACAATCTTGCTGAACGATCCATATATTTGGTTGCCTATACATTTGATAGAGTATTTTGGTGTGATTGCTCCACTAAGGAGGTTTATGAGTTAGGAGCTAGGGGTGTTCACGGGTCGGGTTGGGTTGGTTTATTGGGGTTTTCCCAACCGACCCGACCTGGTCGGGTTACCTGAGGTGGAAACTGAAACTGACCCACTGATAGGCTAAATCGACCTGGTCGGTTTGAGTCGGGTTGGGTCGGTATCGGTTTTGCTCCTGTATAAAAGGATACCTAATTGAATTCTAATTGTAATTGCCTAATGGGTTGCCTATTTGGTGTAAAAGATTATAGAAAGTTAGAAACTAGGATAGATTGCCTATTCTAATTGTAATTGCCTAATAAACCTTCTAGTTCTAGTAGAAGATTAGTTATAGTTAAATAGAAAACTACTCAAACTAGGAACTACCGAACTAGTAGAAGATTAATTCGGTTTGGGTCGGGTTGGTTTCGGTTTTCATACAAAAAAACCGAAACCAACCCAAAATATCAATTTATATATTTGCCCAACCCAAAACCGACCGGTACTGATGAAAACCCAACTGACTTGAGTTGGGTCGGTTTGGATTGGTCGATTTGGTCAGGTTGGGCATTATTATGAATAGCCCTATTAGGAGCCAAATAAGTTGCTCCACTAGTGAGATTTACAAGTTAGGAGTCAAGAAAGTTGCTCTTTTCAAATGGGTGTCTGAAGTCTATTATGTTTGTACTTGTGCATTAGAATTTCTGATCATACCACAGATTTCTTTTGTAAGCAATAACACTGAAGTTTGTTCTGTGTTATCATCGAATATTTCTATAAGCGATAATGATACATGCACGTATCCAGGACTCCTAACCTCTCTTTATATCCTATTCCTTTTCATACTCTATTAATCATTTTTGTAATGGATAACTCTTATCCTAGTAATAATTATCTTTGTAAATTATTTTTATATTCTTATCCTAGTAAGATAAGTATCCTAAATAGGATTACATCTATTCCTGTCCTAAATGAAATAGAATTCAATCCTTGTATATTCCATCTTTGTAATCTATATAAATAAGATGAAAGAGTCGAATAGAGCAATTCGACCATTATCGCTTACAGTTTCAGGTGCGTATATTGGTAGAAACAACACATTTGGGCTACTAATGGATTCCAGCAGCAATCTGGTGTTTTGAGACATAGTAATCAGACCGAGTTGTAGCAAAGCTTCGATCATCCCTCCTACATACTCTTACCAGACATGAGAATTGGACACCTGGACAAACGAAGAAGACCGGAGACCTGGACAAATTTCTTTAGGCGTCGACGTTCAGGGGTATTTTGGTAAAATTTCTGACCCCGCTGAACCGTCATTCTCCCTATTTTTATGGGGTGAAAGTCAAATCCTTACGTGAGAGGCGACGTTTGGGATGGCTGTTTGTTTCAAGGAGCAGATTTAGTCAATTGTCAGAAAATAGAAATAATTTAAAAAATTTCTTAAATATTAAGGGTAATTTAAGAAATTTATCCAAAGCAAAAACATCCATCCCGGGACAAACAGCGGAACGCGAGGATGGGGTTTCTTATCCTCAAAAATCTAAAGAAAATACGCCCAAACACAAAGCAGAAGGATCCGGAATCAAATCAACCTCTCAGACTGAGACTGAAGAAAACTGATACCCTCCGATCCCACAAGCCAGACAACAGCCATTTTCGATGGACGCTCTCTTCGTAAATCCATCTCTCTCTCGTCTCAAGCTCCCATCTAAACCTACCTTCTCATCTCAAATCACGACACCTCCAACCTTTATCCCTCTCCACTTCCCCTCTGTTCGTCGATTCAATTTTCTCCCTCACCACTCCCACCCTGCCCGTCGATTCAACTTCAGAGCCTCCGCCGTTGGAAACCAATCGAAGTTTCAATTTCAAGACCAAGAAATCCAAGAAGACGAATCCTACGGCGAAGTAAATAAGATAATCGGAAGCAGAGCCGTCGAAGGCGGTACGAGAATGGAATATCTAATCGAATGGAAAGACGGCCATACTCCTTCATGGGTACCCGCTACGAACATCGCCAAAGACGTCATCGCCGAGTACGAGACCCCTTGGTGGACCGCTGCCAAGAAAGCTGACGAGGCTGCCCTTCGACAACTGTTGGCAGTCAACAACGACGACGAAGAAGGGCAATTGGGCACTAGGGATGTCGACGCAGTAGACGAAGATGGGCGTACTGCGCTCCTCTTCGTGTCAGGTCTCGGCTCCGAAGCCTGCGTACGGCTTCTAGCTGCGGCTGGCGCTAGCATTGACCACAAGGACAACAGTGGTGGTCTGACTGCCCTCCACATGGCCGCTGGTTACGTCAAGCCGGGCGTAGTCCGGCTGTTGATAGAGCTCGGGGCGGACACCGAGGTGGAGGACGATAGGGGACGTACGCCGTTGGATCTTGCGAGGGAGATCCTGGGGGTGACGCCGAGGGGGAACCCGGTGCAGTTCGCTAGGAGGTTAGGGCTTGAAAATGTGATAAGGGCGTTGGAGGAGTCGATCTACGAGTACGCAGAGGTGGAGGAGATACTGGAGAAGAGAGGGAAGGGCGATAAGGTGGAGTATTTGATCAAGTGGAAGGACGGTGGAGACAATGAGTGGGTCAAAGCTGGGTTGGTCGCGGAGGATCTGATCAAGGACTTCGAGGCAGGGCTAGAATACGCCGTGGCGGAAGCAGTGGTGGATAAGAGGGACGGGGAGGAGGGTAAGAAAGAGTATCTGGTGAAGTGGGCGGACATCGAGGAGGCTACATGGGAGCCGGAGGAGAACGTTGATCCTGAGTTAATCAAGGAATTTGAGATGAGAGGAGCTGGCAATGTGGGACCCAACACTTTAACGTTTCAGGATTCGATCGGCTCGTGATGTTTTTGTGGTTTTGACTCTCTACTCTCCCCCCATATAATGTTCGTTTTGGCTTCAAATCTTCTATCTTCAATCTACGTGGGCTGTATGTAACTGTATTTTAAAGCCTAAGTTCTAAAAGTCCATTTGCTTGAGCAATTTTCGTTTCTTCCAAGATACGATCTCAAAAAATGGTTGGTTGATGGAAATCTATTTGGGCTCTTATTGTTGGATTTTAATCTCATTAGAGATTAAATTTAATGGGGTTTGATCGGTCAATTACATGAAAAAATACATTTGCACATGGCACCTTCCTCTGTTTCATGATTCTTCAGAATTTATTTAAAGAGCTTGAATCAAGCACTTGCACATATACAATTTTGAAAATCACTGTCTCTCTCTCTGTCCGATCTGCTACTGTCTTACGGAAAGGTTTTTTGGAGATTTTTCAATTTTGCTAGTTGCAGATTTTCGCCTAAGGCTCTGTTGTATCCTAGGAATGGATTTGCCTGTAATTCAACAGCAAATTCAGTAGAACTGAGCAGGGGCAAATAACGTTATAAAGACAGTATCTTCAGACACGCCTCAGAGCTTCTCTTCCAAGTTTTAGTGACCCCATTTCCCAACACTTATTATTACGAAATTATTCACTATTTCTTTTCTTAGCCCCCACTAGCCTGTAGTGTTATTGGGGTTGGGTGTGGGTAGGGGTGAGCAAGAAAAACCAAAAAACTGAATCGAATAAAAAATTCGGTTAATTGAATCTGTCGGTTTGGTATTTTTAAAAAATTGAAGGTATCAGTTCGGTTTTGGTTAATGAATTTTTATTATATATTTATATATATTTTTATAATATATAATATAAATTAAAAAAATAAAAAAACAACGAGCCAAATCGACGGTTAACCGAATTGGTCAACTGGTTAATCGATCGACTTTGGTTCAGTTTCGATTACTGATTTTTCAGAAACCAGTCATACCAGTTCGGTTTCAATATTAGGCCCAACCAAACCATGAGCACCCCTAGGTCTGAATAAGTGTATTTACTTGAAAAAATAGGCTCCTGATGCTTAGTTTGGAAGGTACAAATGTGTACCTTCCAAATAATACAAAAACAAATATTTAAGTGCAAATACATATAAAATAATACAAAATACAAGCAAGGTTTTGCACTCTACATATTTGTATTTGTACTCCTTCCAATCTAAGCCTAAAAAACAAATAAGGCCTAAGAATAGAAAATGATAAAAGAGAAAAGGTGCAAGGCACAAATTGAGGACATTGTCAAGGGCGTTTAGCTCCAACCAAATAGAGCTATGCAGCGCTAGATACTTCAAGCAAATTATTTCAATGTCTTATGCTATGTTTGGTTGCAGTGTAAATAAATTTGCACTAATGCAAAACTATAACAATGCAAATGTTTTGGGTATAAATTTAGATTTATTTTTGTTTCAAATTTTACCTTACTTTGTTTGGTTGCAGTACAAATGAAGTAAGACCTAAAGCAGAATAAAGTAAAATCTAAAACAAAATTAAACCATATTTTGCATTTTTTTTTTCATTTGCACAATTGCACTCCCATACATTTGTACTACTACAAATAAAATTGCATTGCAACCAAACACACCCTTATAAGTACATTTGCAAGGAATTCGTCATTACATTATCCTTCTAAGATCTTCAAAGCTATTTTCCATGACTGTACAAATGAACAACATTTTCAACCACATAACTGAAAATGTCTCTAGGGGATAGTGGGGTTCAATCCTTTGGGCAGCTTGCTTAAGATTAACACGAATGAAACAAGTTGAAAGCAGTTTCATCCAAATCAATTGCAAAGAGAAGTTTGGACTTAGAACTAAAAAACCAAAAATTGCTCTTTCTCAACCTGCTTGCATCAAATGGTTACAGGAAGGGGAAAACAAAGAGAAAGTTAACTATTGAATTAAATTAGGGGTGAAATGGATCAGATCTTGACCCAATCCAAGATTTGATCCTATTTGGTCAAATTCGGATCACCCCTGTTTGGATCTTTGAATTGGACCAAATCAGATAATAGAATCTAATTAGGAATCGGATCAAATTCGAATCACCCCTTATCCGATCCTAGGGGTGTCAATGGACCGGTTTTGGGTTGGACTTCGTCCAAATCAAAATCCATTTGGATGGATTGGACGGACCAATAAGATATATTGAATTTGGACTGACTGGATAGACCAATATGACATATTGGATTGGACCTGGTCCGTCCATAATGAATTTATATTGGATTGAGCTAATATCTGGTTCATTGATAGAACATAAGAACATAGGTGTCAATGGACCAAGTTTGAGTTGAAACCAATCTAAATTAACAAGAATTTGAACAAATTGGACAATCTCTGGACCAGTCCAAAATATTCATTGAACTGGATTAGATTAGACCAAATCCAGTCCAATTGACACCCCTATCCTATCCGATATATGTTATATATTTATAAACATGAATATATAATACACAAATATATATTATTTATTTATTTATAAATATATTTGTAGACGTGAATTTTTTAAGCCAAATAAATTGGCTTAATTTACATGACAATCTCTAAATAATATGGGCCTCCATGGGCCCAAGGCTCCAAGTCTACATAAATAGGTCTTGGTGGCCTAAGGATCCAAGTGTATTAAGTCCAATTTGGCCCATCTCCTATTGTAATAGGGTGGTCCCATTGGCAAGACCACTAACTCCTACATAAAGGTGCATGTATAGGAGTTAATACTAACCCAACACCCCACTCACATGGGATTGGTTAGCTAAGTAGGCTGAGGTGGCAGCCTTAACCCTTGGCTATAAATAGCCTTGCCTAGGAAGAAATGACCATTTTTCTTCATTTTGAGAGAATCACACTGTAAGAAGCTCTCAAACACTAACACTGAAGATTTCAAGCAATCACAAGCTCCTGCAACCTCCAGCAACTACAAGATCAAGAGAGAATAAAGAAGGGAAAAGGTTCTTCATTCTCTACAACACTTGGATTCAAGCTCTCCAAAGAATATCAAACTAATGAAAGCATGAAAATGTATATCTAAAGTGTGCTCAACAATTGACATTTGTAAAATAAAGAGCTTAAAAATAATATTTTTTCATAATAATTTTATAAGTGTCAATTTTATTATTTGTGCAATTTTTATGCTGAAAGAATTAATAACTGAGTGGAAGAAAGMCCAAACATAGGTCCAAGAAACCCAAACCCAAGTTCAATGACCCAAGTATGAGTGTTGATTCGTTTCCCGTTTTACTCTGAATAGGGTCTGGTATTTTGGGCATATATTTCTCTACAAATGTTAAAATTCAATGATTATTGAGGCTATGGATAGATAAGAGATAGGGCTACAATTCATCTATTGATAACTTCTTCTAAATCAATCCCTATCCAAGTGAAAATTGGGGGATAAGAAGCGGATCCGGGCTAAGTAGATTGAGGAGCTTGGCATCATAATAAAAAGGAAAAAAAATCTGACAAAAAAGGGACGACTTGCAGAGGTTATTTTGGCATTATTTTCTCATTCTTTCATAGAGGAGAAGAGGGGAGAATGATGTCCAAGCGTGGCTAAAGCTTCGACAAGGCTAGGGAGGATCTTGATCGATGAGTTTTACTTGTTATTTTACTTTGATTCCTTGAGAGATTTAAAT